GCCAGCCATGGGTCTCTACTGTAAAGATATGTCTACACTGCAGTTAAAGTACTCAGTAACAGCTGGTGGATACAGCATGCATGCCACAACTGGGTTCTTGGGAACACTCCTTTTCCTTCTCAACTCCCAGAAGTCTGACACAGGTTTCAGAGCCCTCTGTGAAGACATCAAGAGGCCCCACTGTGTAAGTGCAGGATCAGAAGACAGATAGGATTTCAGCTCTTGAGTATTGTAAGTCATTCCATTTTCTTAAAAGGAAGCTTTTAAATTAGAAGCAGAAAAATGTAATTAGGATCAGAAACTAAGCAAGGAGCTTGCCCCAGGAAAAACAGGCTGGCAAGAGACATAAGCTGTGCTTTAGCCAGGAGTCCTATGCAGCCAGCTTAAAAATATCAGCTTAAAAAATAATAGCCAAAACACATGGTGCTGCTGAGTGTGTTTTCAGACACTGAGCTATTGGTTATTGTGTGAAGGTCCGGGTAACGGCAGCACATGGAAATGTAATCCCTCTTCACGGGCCCTGGCCGGGAGATTTTCAAAAGTCTGTTAGATGCTAACCTATTTCCCTGCACTATTTTATCTGAAGCGGCCATAATAAGTAGAAAATTGCTATATTAACGTAGCAATGCAATTACACCCGCTAGAGTAAAAGTTAAAGGGGTACCTATTGTCATGCTTCAGGGCACAACCTAGACTTGCGGAGTAGGGTCAGGAAGAAAGTCACCACATATACAGCCACATCATGGTATAGTCCAGTTCAGCATTGATTTTTGAAGTGGAACTTTCCCACTTGATGATCCCGCTCTCAGTTGGCAGCGAACTTGATGTGGCTTTGGCAAAGCCCATTTCACAACAAAGCATTGCCCCGTTTCTCCAGGAATGCTGCAAAACTCCCCCTGAAAAGGGCCCTGTCAAGATAAAAAATCAAATAGGTTCATGCCACTTGTGTACGGGACTTTGTTAACACCCCTGCGTGTTGGAATGAGAGTTATAATGCCCTCGTTTATCTTATGCTGGCTGTTGACATCTGGGCTCCATGTGGTTAGCGTGATGGTTCTGGAGATGGGTTAGTTTTGCTCTCCAGTTCTCACGTGTTAGAACAAGACTCTCTGGGTTACCAGCTTGGCAGGGGAATGCTGGAATGTAAATAAACTGTGTAGAATATTTTTTTTTTTTAGTTGAGTAGTTTAAATACCAGGGGCTTAGTCTCCTGAGAGCTATTATACTTTGGTCTAATCGTGAACGCTGTGGAGAAAGTGAATAAGGATGTGTCATTTACCCCTTCCCATAACACAAGAACCAGGGGTCACCAAATGAAACGAATAGGCAGCAGGTTTAAAATAAACAGAAGGAAGTATTTCTTCACACAATGTACAGTCAGCCTGTGGGGCTCATTGCCAGGGGATGCTGTGAAGGCCAAAACTATAATGGGATTCAAAAAAGAACTAGATAAGTTCATGGGGGATAGGTCCATCAATGGCTATTAGCCAGGATGGGCAGTGATGTAACCCCATGCTCTGGGTGTCCCTAAATCTCTGATGGCTAGAAGCTGGGACTGGACAACAGGGGATGGGACACTTGATAATTGCCCTGTCCATTCCCTCTGAAGCATCTGGTACCAGCTGCTGTTGGAAGACAGGATACTGGGCTAGATGGCCCATTGGTCTGACCCACCCTGGCCATTCTTATGTCTTAATTCTCGTCTGTGATATGCAGGAGGGCAGATTAGATGTTCTGGTGAATCTTTCTGGCCTTAAACTCTGTGGCTCTGGAGAACCTGGGGCAGGCCAGCGAGTGCCAAGGTGGCTTTGGGCCTCCCTAATTTTGACCTTCTCCAGGAACCTGCGCCGCCCCTCCAAGTGAATTGGATCCAGCTGCCAGTCGGCTGCTCTCCCTCCCGTCCCTACCACTACGTCAGGTGGGCTGTGTTGGGCTGCTTATGTTGGTCTACACTGGGGAAAATCTCCAAGGGGCTGTTCCCCCCACCGGGACCCTCTTGCTGAACAGAATTGGATCGATGTTCAGGGTGGCAAGGACTGTCTTGTCTGGCTTAGACCGTCTGCTTGCAGCTGCCCAGTGCACAATAGCTTGCATTGTTGTGGCCATGGATAACTGGTTTCTTTCATCCTGTAGCTTTTCCCCTCCTGAGCTGCGGCGTGCGTGGATGCTGGTGTTAGAATGTAGGCTGGCACGTTCTGTGGCAGACGTGGCCTGAATATACCTCTAGGCTGGCTAAGGCCTGAGTGTGACCCGCAGAGCTGAGATGCATCTGTCCGGTCAGATCTTGCAGTTCTGTTTGTTTCTCTCTCCCATCATCCCTTTCTGGGCAGTCATGTACTGGCTCAGGGAGGAAGTGCTTGGGGCCTGTCTGGGTATCAAACTTCCAAAAACAAGTGAGCTCTGAGGCTGGGACAGAATTTTGCCTTCCCTCCCCATCGCTGATTTCCCCCGGGGAAAGCCATGCACCTGGAGAACTTGCAGAACAAACCCAGCTTCCTGTGGGTGTGAAATGCCAGCCAGCCAGTCCCCCCGGTCCGTGTGGGCACTTCCTTGTCACTGCACTGCGACGTTTGTATTGCCCCAGCTTGAACTCGCTCTGCTGTGTGACTCTCTGATCCTTTGCTGAGGAACAGGGTCTGGTTTCTCTCCGCCTTCCCCATGCCAAGGGAAGGTCTCTGAGCACTCGGGTTTGCCAATCGAACAAGGCCAAGGATGAGTTAACATCCCCTGCTTGCAAAAAAATATAAATAAAAATAAAATTTAAACCCCAGCAGTTCCTCTTTCTATATTCACTGGGTAAAAAATTAACCAGCTTTTACAGCTAATTGGATGATTGTCCTTCAAGACAAAAAGCTACCCATTGACAACAGACAAAGGAGCGCTGGGAAGGAGGTGTAATTACTGCTCTGCAAAAACACCGAAAAGCTGACTTCATAACCCCTACATTGGGAAGACGCGAACACCCAAGAATCCGGGTCTGCCATTAGCATTTGCTTTGCCCTATCTGGTTACGTTTTAGACTGCTGTTTGAGCAGAGTTTGCTTTGCGATAAAGAAAGGCCCACCAATCTTTCCTGAGGCCGGGTTTGGCCGGCAGTCTGCCAGCTTTCTAGGGGAGGAGATGGCAAGGAAACAAAGTTCAGGGCTTATTTATTTTTGGAAGACAAACTGTGCACGCCTGTCCGTAGCCAGGCAAGTGGCATGATTTTTATTGATCTGTTTTTCGTCTGGTGCACGGAAGACAAGTAGCCCTAACATTTACCAGCCCAGACGTACAATCTACTTGCATGACTTTTTTGGGGCGGGGAGCTTGCCCTTGGTCTGTGCGGAACTGGGTGTTGTGTCTTCCCTCGCTGGCACAGCGACTGCTCAGATAGGGGCTGTGCCTGTCCAGTTGGCCCCCCCCAGTGAAACTCCCCGCATCCTGCCCACTCTTCAGGGACTGCCGAGCCCGTCGCTGGCTCGCTACATGCAGGCCAGAGAACGGTCCTGCTCCAGACTTGGTTTGTCCATCGTCCAAAGCAGCGAAGAGACACCAGTACAATGAAAACTTCCAGTGTGTGTGCAGAAACTCTGTGCATCCCCCTAGGGTTCCTTGCAGCATTGTTCTGGGAAGGCCTCCATTTGGATCCATCCCAGCTTTAGCCCCTCCAGGAAAACTCAAGAGAAGGAAACTGTTAGTGAAGATCCAAACCCAGGAATATCCTAGAAACATAGATTTCAAGGTCATCAGGGGCCATTGTGATCATGTTGTCTGCCTGCCTGTACAGCAGAGATCAGAGAACTGCCCCCCAATAATTCCGAGAGCAGAGCTTTCAGAGAAAGATCCCATCGTGGTTTTAAAAATGGTCAGCGATGGAGAATCCACCATGACCCTTGGTAAATTGTTCCAAGGATGAATTATTCTCACCATTAAAAATGTATGCCCAATTTCCAGTCTCTGGTGATGAGCAAGGGTGTGCCAACTGCCTGCAGATCTGGTTGCCCCATCTCAAAAATAACATATTGGATTTGGAAAAGGTACAGAGAAGGGCAACCAAAATGATCAGGGGGATGGAGCAGCTTCCATAGGAGAGATTAAGAAGACGGACTGTTCAGCTTGGAAAAGAGACGACTAAGGGGCGATATGATCGAGGTCTGTGAAATCATGACGGGTGTGGAGAAAGTCGATAAGGAAGTGTTATTTACTCTTTCCCATAACACAAGAACCAGGGGTCACCCAATGACATTAATAGGCAGCAGGTTTTAAAACAAACAAAAGGAAGTATTTCTTCACACAACGCACAGTCAGTCTGTGGAACTCTTTGCCAGAGGATGTCGTGAAGGCCAAGACTATAACAGGGTTCAAAAAAGAACTAGATAAGTTCCTGGAGGACAGATCCATCAATGGCTATTAGCCAGGATGGGCAGGGATGGTGTCCCTAGCCTCTGTTTGCCAGAAGTTGGGAATGAGTGACAGGGGAGGGATCACTTGATGATTCCCTGTTCTGTTCATTCCCTCTAGGGCACCTGGCATTGGCCACTGTCGGAAGACAGGATGCTGGGCTGGATGGACCTTTGGTCTGACTCTGGATGGCCGTTCTTATGAAGTAGCCCTGCAAAGGGTGCTGACTTACGTACTGACTGATCGCCATGTACGCTGTTGGCTTTGGCTCAGTAGCAAAGTTCAGAACTGTGGGTCTCTGGATCACCTTAATCTTGCAGTGATGTGTTTCCAAATCTAGACTTTGGAGGGTCTCTAACTCCAGCCCCAGGCCCACCTGTTGGTGGTCTGTATAGAGCAAGGAAAATAAGACATAAATGGGCGTGAGCCATTCTGAGACTCAGCACTGGATTTGCGTTGCATAGGCCGCCATACAGCAGTCGGCTGGCTTGGACCACTAATCAGCTGGGCTGATTTAAAATCAGTGACTGAGGGCGGAGGCTCTGTGTGCTTTTTTATCAGTCTCCCACGCCAGCCGGTTCTCCCTTTCCTGTGCTGCACCCAGACCTTGCACCGCTCTGGTGAGCTTTTAATAGAATGCACAAATGTACTATTGTAAAAACGAAGGGCAGCCGTGTCTGGGGGGGAATGGCCACTGTGTGTGTTTCAGGCAGGCTGGGAAGCGAACTGGTGTCTCTAAATAGATGTGAGAAAGTTATAAGCCATTAATAAGCGGAGCCGAGATGGGAACGGATCCCATGGGGGCATCTAAGCAAGGCCACTTTCTGTGCATGCCTCGCAAATGAAAACAAGATCATCCATTTCTCGGTGGGCCGCGGCGGTTTTAGAAGTGCTTTGTGGGAAAAGGAATCCAGAGGGGAATATTCGGGCGACTTGTTGTTGCAGGAGGGGAACAGTGACAGCTGCATTCAATATCCGCACACAGAGCTAATGAGGAGCTTTTTAACGGCCGCTGGTGTACAAAGGAATGGGAGAAAGTGGCAGGCCCCAATGTTCTGTCGGCAGCTACTGCCAGGTGGGAATGGATTGCTACGGGGGAGGAGAGTCAGCATGTTACAGCTCCCCCTTGATTCTTTCGAGGCCCTGAATGCCAGCATCAGACCCCAGCGGGAAGAGCAAGAACTCAGCACCTCTCGCAATCTCAGGCCTGAGGCTTTTGACCCCTGATCCAGCAAAGCGCTTTTAAGCACGTGAGTACTCCCGTTGGCTGCTCATAGAGCCCTGGGACTTGAAACAAAGCACAGGCTCTGCCGGGCTGGGTCTGCAGAGCCGACGAAAATGGCTGCGCTGATGTAATCGCCATCCCGGAGCAATGGGCAGCGACACAGGACGGTGGTTTAGTTTTTCCTATATGGCCATGAAAATTAAAACGGCTCCCACTGTTAGCTCTGCAAAGGAGGACAGTGCTGGGGACGGACGTGGGGCGAGCGGCCATCTGGCTGGTGAGGGCTTCCTCCTGGGAAGCAGATTGGCCTGTGTAATGGGGAAAAGAACATCCCGTCAGGATGCTGAGCTTGTCAGAGCTGTCACTGCTAAATTCCCTGCTCTTTTGACTAGGCTAGTGGAACAGAGCGGAGCCCAGACCCCATGCTGGGGGGAGGGAAGGCATGCACGGCCAGTCTCTGCTCTGATTACTGTTCAATAAACACTTGAATCAACCAGTAATTTAAAAATGCCTTGCCACTCTAGAGTAAACGGAGAGCTTAGATTCTTCAGTGTCTTACCCGGCTCTGTCGGGCTGCCAGCTACAGTAGGGGCTTCTGGTTCAGTCTTTCATCTTGGTGTTGGATTGGAGAACAGGGTTGTTTCCAGTTACCGAGTCTCCTCCTAACGCAGCTGCTATAATACTGTACCTTCCTGCTTTACGTGGGCGGTTCCCACCAGTTGCCCGATCCCGAGGATTTGTACCCCTCACTCCTCTTGGAGGCTTCGCTTGGGTGTCTCAAGGCAGTCCAGTGTTTGCAGAATTGGACCCTTTCCGTACCCAGCCCTCCTGAAGGGCTGCGTGCATTGGGCCTGGTTCTCCATTGCCCAGGCCAAGTGGCCGTGTGGATGATGAGTAGCGTTTGCCGCTCGCTTTGCATGGGTGTTTATGATGAGAAAAGGCTCACAGCGGGGGACAGTCTGGCTCAGTACATCCTGCTGAACTGGAAGCTGGAGTCCAGCTTTCTGACAGCTGGGCAGTGAGGCGTGGGATGGTGGATGGGCCGTTTCCCCTGGAGAGACGGGAGGACAAGCCAAGGTGAAGGATAGTGTTAACCTGCTCTGGAGAAGCTAACGTGGCCGTCATAAAAGAAGTGATGAAGTTGGGGCTGAATCTACAACAGAGTGGAGAATAAAAGGATGGGGGGAGACAGCTACAGGCAGATGCTATAAACTGGGAGGACCAGCAAGGAGTCTCTGGCCGTGCTGTACTCTGCCCAGCGCTGCTGAGCTGGCGGTTGGGATGATGGCAAAGCACCTCTAATCTGGGTACCTACGGGGCCTCCAACACTTTGTCCTGTGGCATTCAGAGCAGGAAGCACAAATGCCCATTTCCTCCTAGGTGGGAGGGTTGTAGGTATGTTCTCTTGGGAGCTGGTTGAAACATTTTCAGTAAAGTTAGGGCTGTGTGGGTGTGGGTGTTTAAATGAAAAGTGGCTTTTTTCCTGACCAAAATAAAAATATTTGCAGAAAAATTTCATTTTCGTCAAAACACCGTGTTTTTAAGTCTTGAAACACAACTTTTTGTCTTTGTTGGGGGAAATTCTCACTTGATCTCCCCCCCCACCCCCAACCCCCTCTTTTCCAGCTGGGATGGGGGAAGAGTAAAAGAGCAAGTGGGTTTTTCCCCCAACAAAATCATATTGTCGGGTTTTTTCACCAACAAAATTTATTTGACACTTTCATGGGCCGATGGAATTTCAGACAAAAGAAAAACACCTTAGTTCCTTGCAAAATATTTTGCGAAATATACTCCCCCTCCTTCTCCTCCACCCAGGTCTGGTGTGCTTCCTCAGAAGCATATTACATTGGTCCCAGAAAGACACCGGTCTAGAGACGCTGCTGGGCTGAAATAGCTCGGTGATCGTGAGGTAGAGCAGCGCTGCCCGTGGTGGAGAGCAGAGATCTCTCTTTTTTGTGTAAGTTTAAAACAAAAAATCCACGCAAAGATTTTGCTCCACACACTTAAAATCCAAACTGCCCCTTTTCGCTCCCAACTGCAGGGGGCAGTCGGTGGCCCAGCGACTCCAGAAGTCTGATCTCAGAGGTTCCAGTTACTGGAGTTAGAGATGAGTTCCCCCTTTGTGCTCTGCGCAGAAATGCGCAAGCTCACTCTCGCCTGTCATTTCTCTCCTTGACCCACGTCTGAGTCAGCCAGGCTCCTGCGCGCCCCTCTGTAACGTGGGAGGATGCTTGGGGGAAGACTGCGATCTCGTCTGTGCTTGGGGAGAGGGGACGGAACAGGCTTCATTAGCAAAGTGATGGTGCCACCCCCAAGAGGTGGCTTAATGTGACCCTATTTTGGGGATGGGGGAGTAGTAAAATGGTATAGAAATATTATACCGAGAGAGAGAATTATAGAGAAAATCCACTTAGTGCTATCAGGGATTGAAATCATAGGTATGCACAGAACAGGTCCAGCACAGGCTAGCTCCTTCCTTCCTCTCCTATCCCCCTCTGCCCCCATTCACACCTGCCTTGGTAGTGTGCTCCAGCTCGCGGCCCAATAAACTGCACCTCTTGGGATAATTGAACAGCCTCCATGGCTCTCACGGGACTGCCAAGGAAAAGAGAGATGGCCGTGGCTGCTCTAATGGCAGGTGTCACCAGGTGGCACTGTCCTAGTCATCCACGTTCTTAGCATGTGAGCAAGTTTTGACTCTTGGGGAGACATGCTGCCATGTTGAGTTTTGTGTTATGGGAGGTTTCTGCATAGAGGCAGCCTGAGGAGAGACGTTGCTATGCAAGCAGGAGAGTTTGCTCTCTGCCTTGGTCTCCAATGCCTCAAGGAGGAACAGGGCACTGCTATTGGGCTGAGATTCCTAGAAGAAGGGATGGCTTTGCATGCTCTTTTGACCACCTCTGTTCCAGGACTGGTGTGTGTGTAAAATCAAGGAGTTACCCTTGGAGTGTACCCGAATTCTTTGACTTTAATTTCTCCTCTGCTGGGAAGCTGACCAGCAAGACTCCAGACATCAGCGACTGCTCAGCAGAAATGTTTTAATGGGACACAGGTGTCAGAAGAAGGGGGCAACAGAGCCATCCTATGGGACTGGCTTTTGATCTTGCCTGGAAAATTCACCCCTCCAGCTTTTCTCTCCAGGCCTGGAATCTCGTTTAGCCTTTTTAGAATTTGTTTGTTCTCTGTTTCAGATCTGATGAAATATTTGCTCTTGGGAAAACATCTGCAGCAAGCATGTTTGAACAGTGTTCTGGAGGGCTAGGTAGTTGGTGTGTGTGTGATATATATATATATAAACAATATACATATAAAGAAAATCTTAAGTAAACCAATCCACATGAGTTGCTTTATCAGGAGGTCTTCTATTCAGAGTTCTTGGCCCATCTCTCCTGTTCTCATTAGTTCCTTTTAAAATTAGCAGGCAGCTTCTGCTGGAATGGCTATTCCTGCGATGGGATTGGAACTGAGCAGCTTAGAGGAGATGAAGATTTTGTTCATTACAGCCCAATTGAGAGGCAGAAACGCAAAAGCGGGCAATAAAGAGACATCAACTTCAAGGTTTGGTTAATGGCCTTTAAAACCCACCTCCCCAGAGTCTAGCCTGTGCTGTTTTAAAACAGGAACTAGCAGACCCCAGGGCAACGTCAAGGATTTTTTGGTAAATTACAAAACTCTCGATACGGATTAGCTTTTGCCACTCGATATTCTGACTTCCCCTGCTTGAGACTGGCAAGCGCTTTGAGAAGTAGCTCGAAAGCTTATCCCAGGGCTGCTGCTGCTTCTGTGAACGCCTCTCTATCCTCTCCTGAAACCGAAGAGTGGAACAAAGGGGGGGGGGGGGAGGTGGGAGACGCTCCGGGAGGGTGTTTAAAGCTGCTCGCTGCAAGTGCAGAAGCAACGAAATGAAACTGTACAAAGAATGACTGACTCGTTACCTAGGTGGGCATAGGGAGACCTTTCCGTTGTTCGCTGCTGATCAAAACGTGTTGCTGGAAATAGCTTCTTTGCTCATGACTCGTAATCAGGCACCGCTCTAATGTTTTGCTTTTTGTGCAGGGGGAGAGAGGGCTTGGTTTCCATTGCTGGGCTCCCCCGGGTTTGGAAATGTGCTGATGTTTGCTAGCACAGAGGTGTCTTTAAAGGTGACTGCGTGGGGTTGGAGGCAGAGTTGTGGCTGTCTGACGTTCACCCTCTCTGATGCTTTTCCGGTTGTGCTTTACTGGAGCCTGTCTTGTCTCCCGAGTGGCAATGAGAGGCCAGTCCTGCTGTTGGTTACCTGTGTGCAGCGGGGTCAGGACTTGCCTGAGTCTCATTCTCACCCCCATGGCCAAAGAACCACTGCAAATCGTTAATCCTAAATCTGTGTTCCTAATGAGCCGGCCCACATAAGTGGATGTAAATCGTGATGAGTTCACTAGGGTCGGGTATTTCCTCCCTCGCTGGCTATTGCGGGAGATGCTGCATAAGGGGCACCTGGCTGCTGGGACAGCCAGGGTTCCCCCTTCTCCAGTGCATGTGAGGCCTGATCCTGGGAAGCGAGCATGTACGAGACTAGATGTTATCAGTACGCACAGCTGTGTCTCGCTGAGCGGCTGCTTCTCCAGGAGCAGCACTGCCCGCTTTGCTGCTCAGACCTGCATCCACATACTCAGTGCAAGGCCTTTCCCACCCCCCGCTTTTTGCTCTGGTATCAGCCAGCCGAGGGTGAGACAAGCTGGTGGGTCCCGGTCGGGTTTCTAATACAACAGCTCCACTAGCCCTCTCGATAGGGGGACCAGGACTGGATGGGCACGAAGGGCGAGTCCGTGGAGGTGGTCTCGTAACAAGGTTGAGGTTGTTGGTGGGGTGGGGAGGGATAGGCCAGCCCTGGTGCTGGACCTGCCCTGGGATGGCTGGTCTCTGAACCTGGCCCCGGGTGCATAGAGTCCAGGGCCAGGCGTCCAACCCCCTGGAGAATAGGAGCCCTCCATGAATTGTTCGGCACTACCAGGGGTCTTACCCTGGGTGTTTCCACAAATGCATCCT